ACTTTAAGGGTCTTTGTGCTTCGATTTACAAAATGTGTGTATTTGTTTGTTATGTTTAGTTACGAGTCTTGAGCGATTCTTCTGTCTAGTCTGTGTTTGTATTTCATGCATGTCATCTTTTATGAATAGAATACATCCGTGTGGCAGTGTAAGATTTGATCTAACTTCCGGCAAAAGGTATATGAAATTATAGTCACCGAGACAGCAGATTGCATCCAACTAACTTTTCAGAGTTCATAGAAAAAAAGGCTTAACTTCCTGCTTGCGGAACAGTACGGTTCAATGACACCGCAATCGATTACACTTTAATGGAGCGTACTTATGTGGTCTTAAGATGTTAGAATGGTTTTTGAAGACTGCAATAGAAAGTAGGCGTCTCTCTCTCTCTCTCTCTGGAGCGTGGTAGTGAAGCGCGAATGAATCGAAAAGATTAGATATTACGTATATGGGTTGATGTGGAGAACAGAAGAAGACACACGGAAACTACTGACTAATGATCACATTTGAGCCAGGAAAATAGTAACAACCAAGAGAAAAGATGAACCTTTTCTGGCCCTACACTTCGCCTGGTTCGTAGTAAGAGTGTTTTAATTTCAGACGCGTTCGCATTGATGAGAAATGCCGGTTGATATAGCTCCGTCTCCAGTCTGTCCATCTATACGGCCAGAAAAAACTCGAGAACTGGAAAACGGATTTTCATGAAATTTTATATTTGGGGAGTTTCACGAAAACGGAAAACCATTTTAATGTTTATTTCGAGCAGACCGTTTAATGATCACTTTACGTTTTGGGAGCGTTCACAACTAGTAGTTCAAAAAAAGTCCCACAGCCGTTTTGGAGTTGGTATATGTGGGCTGTGTGGCTATAGTTCCTAAGTTCGTCGATAGATGGCAGCGCGACCTCTTCGTCTGAAAGACACGATAGACACAGGCGACAGTGTGAAACGGGCCGAAAGCTCAAGGAGCGTTCAAAAATATTCAACGATTTACGAACAGCGAAGGAGATGACAAGAAAATGTAAAATGGGGCCATACAGAACTATATTATAAGGTTGTGAACTATATTAAATTAGCTTAGCACACTTTTCCATTCTCTTTTTCTAATATAGCCCTCCCTTCCATGCCTAGATCTTCCAAGTAGTTTATTTCCTTGTGCCTTTCCAACCAAAGTTTTTACGCACTTTCCATCGCCCCCTTGCATTTTACATGCCCTTCCCATCTCATCCTTCATTTGATGTAATATCTGGTGACAAGTATAAAATGCAGAGCTGCTCATTATGCAGTTTTCTACAGCCTCCTATGAAACAATCTCTTTTAGGTCTATAATTTTAATCCTACTGTGGTTAGAAGAAAAATATGGCGTTCAAACTGGAATGCATAGTGTAATATGGGCTGGAGTATGATGTGCAGGTACGTTTGGTTCTGCAAGAGAATTGTGTCATGCTAGAATGTAGGATTTTCTTTGCTATGAGAAGGTTCATGTTTAGAGATTTTACTGTATTTCTATATTACTTTTTATATTCTCCCAGTGTTACATTATCCATCACAAATCCTAAGTTGAGTTCCATGATCATGAACCTGAGCTACTGCAGTTAGATGGCAGTGGCCGACCATCTGAGCTATGGCACTACCCAAACAGACATTTAGAAGACATACTTTTAACAAACCTCATTATTCAAGAGTAGTGGTAGACTCCATCTTTGTAAAGGTTATCTGAAACCATTTTACTGTACAGAGTGGTAAATATGTTATAAAGTAAAGAAATGTGATCTGCTTGTAGCAATTTACTGATATTCTTAACAAAATTTTACTTGCTACTTAATCTACATTGTCTCAGTAGTCATATCTGGTCCAGGACCATATTTTATCCACTCACACAACATATGAGTTATTACTGAACATTTTTAATTTGCATTTACTCAAAATATAACTTATTACAAACTTTGTTGCTATAAAATACTCAGGTTATAAACATAAATTAATCTTCCATATAGAAGTTTCAAAATTATTTGCCTTTTACATATAATTTTTGCTTATCTCCAGGTTTATCTGAATCTGATGCATCATTTATATTTAAGGGTGCTTCAAGGCCTTGGTTTGTCATTCATGAAAGCTTTGGACTTGCCTCTTCCTTTAAGAAAAATGGAAATTTGGTTTTTGAAACCATAATCCAGATAATCAGAAAATATTAGAGTCAAACTATTTTAAAAATGCCTATAATTATTCCACGTAGTTCATCATCAACGTACCAGGTCGTGTGTTCCCAGCATATAAAGATAGAAACATATAGATATATATATGTATGTCACATTACTTATTTTGGTGGGTTTCAACTGTTTACATTCCCCGGGTTCATCTCAACCACAAGTTCACAACTACGACCCACTATAGAAAGTCTGACCATTCCAGGTCATCTTTACAGCCACACTTCCCTTACAGATGCATCAAAGAAGTAGATCTTTATTTTTCCATTTCACCCTGGAAGTCTTTTTTTTTAATCTGTTACTAAGAACAGTTATTGTTCCCTTCTGGCTTCCAATACAGTTTTGTTTCTAAATTTATTACAGTTATTTACTGTCACATTGTTGTAAATCACTGATGGCTATATTTCTGCCTGATACAATGTGAAGACAACGATGTTTGTTGATAAGTAGCATGGATTAAGACATTCTAAGTTTTACAACCATAGACACAAGTAATTGGTTAGTGTGTTACTTTTGTATTGTAATAGATACACCTAGTGAATAATAAAATTCCAGGACTTAAAATGTTATTATACATCTTCTACATGTGACAGAAAATAGAGACATCTCTGCTTCTCTACATAATTATTTTACAATTATGTTTTATCCATCACTGTTTTATTTTCATAAACCCATCTGTATACAAATCTTTTGATGAAGTAATTGACATTCTGCTGATATGCCCAGATCTTGTCACACTTCACTATGGCATACTAAAATCAGCACTTTATAATAAATTATAAATAACACAATTAAAACTTCACTTTAATAAATATTGTTTATTAATTACCAGATAAGAGGATGTTTTGTAGCATAGAATTTTCACTCACACACTTCTCAGATCTCATTTTTCTCAGTGCCAGTGTTTAATAATCTATACTAGAATCATCACTTCATAAGAAATTATTATAATTGACATTCACAATTACAACTCCAATAAATACTATTTACAAATAGGAAATTTTATTTGTAGGTGTCCCACCATTCTAGATTTGTCACAGATTTTAGCTAATATTAATAGTTGTTGAAATAACATGAGTTTGACCTCACATTTTGGTATAAAATGTAATACAGTGGAACTGCATAGAAAGATACATATCTAAGAGATTAAAGGGAATATTCTCTTTTACTTTAATATTAATGTATAAAACCGAATGTGTGTCTGTATATATTTTCAGTTTTCCTCGAAAATTGGTGGTGTTGTTTGCTCTGAAAGCAGATGAATGGTAAAATTATTTCTGTGTTTAACATTCTGCCATGAAGTCTTACAGAGAGAGTCTCAAGTACCCATTAGGAATGAACCCTTGAGCAATTCTAAATGTGATAGGAAGACAAATCTGAACATACTGCTGGAAATCAAATCTTTGTTACAAAGTATGTGGGCATCTACTTCACTGTCTGAGTTGCGACAGTTCTCCTGTCAAGTCCAAAATTTTCAGTATTGCTGAATGCTGCACAAGGAAAGAGTAATGAGTAAAAGTGGCCTTAATTTGGATGTAGCAGTGAGATTGATTTCTGTTGTAGCAGGAAAACTGTCCATGAGCATTGGGTGTTGTGATTTTGATTGAAAACAATAACATGAAACAGTTTGTGAGAAAATTGTTACTGGCTACTTTATCCAAATTATTTGTTTCTTCCTTTTAAGGGGACCTTATGGTCCTGTATGCTAATTTTCTATGTTGAAAGTCTCAGGTTCAGGACCCATTCAACATCAGCCTCTGTGAATGACAAAATCAAAAATTTGTGAATGTGGAAAATATGTCTACTACACGTTGCCACAATTTTGAGTTCACTTTGCCAGTTACCTTCTCACCATTATGCAGTGATTAGAAGAAGTGGATGGAAATTGTGGTTTCTCCCACATCAGATGGATTCCTTCACCTTGTCAGAAGATTGTTACGTTGTTAAAAAATGGTGTATCAGCTGCTAAGGCTATGTAACTTCCAAATTAGCTGAATTTTGGGTTGGAAAATATTTTGACACAACTGGTTGTGGCCTGTTTGAAGGTACTTCTAGAGTGTTTACCAGTAGAGACTGAGAAAAACCATATTGTCAGATCAGACATCTGTTGACCCAGCCACGAACCAAATCAGGTGCCCCACAAGTATAAATTCAGTGTTATTGTTACACCAACATAGTCAGTTTGCCAGAGGTCATGAATGTTAAAATAACTGTAGGGGTTCACCACAAATTATTCATGGCCATAAAACAGACCACTAACTGTGATGTTACAGTTCGTCTCTCCTAACCTCTTTAACACTTATGGTGCTACTGAACTGTCTAGTAAGATAGCTTAATAATAGAAAGGCATTAGTTATGGAGTTTATGAGCTCACACTTTATCTGAAGTTCTACTGTTCATACAATGTATTGTCAACATCTAAGTTACACATGCACCATCAAATTCTGCTTTCTTCAATGTTTTAAGATCTTTGTTTTATTCACATTACCCTACATGTTTCATTTATTCATTACTGATTTTTTTTTCAGGTGTTCATGCAACATTTCTAATCTAATGTCCCTATCTTCCTAAAATATCTCATGAACACATCATCAGCAGTTACTTGTAAATTAATAAATAACAGGAAAACATCAGTAAAATTCTTCATGGTTATTCCTAGTTCATAGGCAGTAATGTAAAAATAAAGGCAAGAGACCCTGATGATCTGTGTAGCTGATCAGTTGACTGAAAGTGATACTGCATCTGACTTTCATTCTGGAGGTACCTGGTTAAAATGCTGTTCAGGAATTTGATGTCAGTTCATGAAAGAAAATATATTTTGAAAATAAGTTACAGCTGATTCCTTTCACATACCTGCCCACTCATCATTCAGAATCATTCAACCATAGCTTTTAGAATGCTATGTAATCTTAACAGATAGGAGAGAATAATGGTTTAACATAACCTACCTACGTGGCCACTTAAAATAAATACTGTTCTGAAATGGAAGGCATTTATAATGTTAGGCAGTTTATAGCATAAAATTTCCATACTTAAAAGCTCGATAGCTCCGGAACCTCTGTAATCCTATCTCTGAAATCACAATAGATACAACAGTTCTTTTCCATCTCTTGACTGTGTTAATTCATATCACCACTGGACTATAGCTGTGGTATTGCAGAAATAGCACTTGGTTCTGATCCACCAACGGTTGCATATTTAGGTTTGCAAACACAACCACTTTCGACCAGCACGTAGTCTTGTCCTGTAAGAGTTACGGGTCCTAATGGAATCACCAGAAACAAGTATGGCACATATGTTTGTGTGCATTCTCCTCTGACTACATCACATTCATTTGATCTGAAATAACAAATAAATCATTAGTACCTTGATATATGGAACAGATGAATGTGCCCCTGTCTCACTTTGCATGGTCCATCTGAGTTTCGTAAACAAGGCTTTGGCCATTAATTGATAACCGTGACATCTGGTGTGGAGGAAATGCCTCTGTCTAATCTCAAAAGACCTGAGTCATGGCAATATGACCATCACATCTGGTGTGAAGGAATCTAATTACAGATGACCAGTCATGGTGATATAACCATTAGATGGGGTACTGAGCAAATGTCACTATCGTGTTTAGGTTAGTTCAGTTTCTTGTTTACTTCTTTAAGTTTGTATCTTTGCGTTCTTTAATGTAAAGGAAGTCATATTCCTAACAGAAGCAAAAGTAAATAAAGTAAAGCTGTCCCACTATACGCCATGTAGG